TGTGATTTTAATGTTTTAATTGTGTTTTAATCTTTTGTGTGATTTTAATGTTTTAATTGTGATTCTGGTGTTTGTTTTATGTGATGATTTGTGATGTGGACTGTGAAGCGCTTTGTGTTGCCCTGTGTATGAAAGGCGCTCTACAAATAAACTTTGATTGATTGATTGATTGATATATCTCCGTGTATAAACCCGGCAGACTGCACCGCCAGGATACGGCACGTCCTGTCCTACGTTTGTTATTCACCACTGCCCTGACGTCATATGAAACCCAAGAATAGTCATCAGCGCTGGTATAGCATTAGCGCTGGAATAGCATTAGCGCTGGAATAGCATTAGCGCTGGAATAGCATTAGCGCTGGTATAACATTAGCTCTATATAGACAGGCCGCGCTGCGATAACACATTGACAGACAAAGTACTCGATTGTGTGAATACTTTGCGCAGATCACAGTCATGCTCTGTTCAATCTAATTTCAGTCAGATTTAAAGATAGTAAACTGAACTCAGGGGCCACTTACAGTAATGAGTCATGTGCTGTCCACCAAAGGAACCTGGAATGACCCAACCATATAAAAAACACAAAGATATAAAAAGAAGCGCAATTTGTTGTATTTTTGCGAAAGAATGCAGGCTGCTTTAAATGCAGTAGCAAGAGGTCGGTCCCTCCCGACTTTGTCTCATTGATTTACATGGTTTCTGCATAATGTAATTGTTTATTGGGGATCCCCTTTAGCTACCATCAATGTGTTTGCTAATCTACATGGGGTACCAGTTGAGACAAATATAATAACAACAAATTAAAATAAATCAAACAATACATTAATTCATTGCCGTCATATTAAATACAGATAAGAAAATACAGTATGGCTTCTGAACGCTCCAGAGGCAAGAGGCTGCGGACAGATGGACAGAGGAAATTTATCTTGAACTCACGCCTTTCTACGTGGAGTTTGCATGTTCTCCCCGTGCCTGTGTAGTTTTCCTCCTGGTGCTCTGGTTTCCTGGGATCTTGCATGCGACTCCTGTGTGGCAACCCATCTCCCATCTCTGTGTGAAGTCAGAGACACAACTGCCCCAAAAGAATGTTAATGGTCAAAGCAAAAGCAGCTTGAATGCAAAGAGTAGAGCTAAGTCAAACACCAATCATTACTTTCTTGACTCAAAATCAAAATTAACCCTATTTTGGCTCTTTAAAATTTGCTTTTGAACAATATCTGAAAGCAACACGTGAGTCCTAGACGAATTCCCTCCAGGACATCATGAATGAATCTTGATAATTCTTCAAACTTTCTTCCACATTGTGCAAGGCCTTCCTGCTGCCATCTGCCCATCTCCGCAGCCTCTTGCCTCTGGAGCGTTCAGAAGCCATACCAGACTTGTAATTAGTCCTTAACAGCCGTTTCCTACCTCTTACACCATGGAAGATAGTTTAATTTCAGTGGGTGCTAAAAGCTTCTCTCAGCACACTTGAGAGCTACCTCTTGCCTCCACTTTAGCGCCTCGATTATCCAGTATATATATAAAACAAGTCACTAATATATTTTAAATCTCCAGCCGGGATAATAAGCACTTTGCGAGCACTTAATGTGGGATGAGTTTTGTTTTACAAGAGAGCGCGGTCAGAAGCTTATGGTGAGAATCCCACCCAGAAGGGCACCTTGTCCACAGCCGACAGCCGGCAGGGGAGGAATCTGGACGGCATTCTGGGAGCACGGCACTACCAACATTTTTAAAGGCTTAGCTCTGAATTATTTAATCCATGTTTGGTGTAGCATGGACGCAGCTCAGATGGAGGCGTGTTTTGCATAAGATGAACATACTGAAGCTCTGCGCTCAGTGTCAACAGAGAAGTCCTGACATTTGTTCGAGAAAATAACTGAAACTGAAACACAGGGAAATATGTATTAAACCCACAGCGTTTGTCCAAAGGGTTTAGAGCTTTTTAGAGACGTATTTTGGTTAATTTACTCGATCTCGTTGGTGTTTATTTATTCAGACGGCGATAAAGCAAATAACTTAAAGGCAACTTAATAAAAGAAAATGAAGTACATAAAACAAACACCCAACATTTACTGTATGATCTCGTCTGCCGAGAATGAGGCAATGAAGTCCGTCTGAAAAGGAGTGGGTTTATATAAGAGTAAACTCTTATATAATCCCACCTCTTTCTTCTGTACTTCAATTTTGTATCACAATAGACTTCCTCTGTGTGTGTGTGTGTGTGTCCGGGTGTTGTGTGTCCGATCAATCTATTAGTGGTATATTTCAACCAAACTACTGTATACAGGTCATAGCGCCGAAAACATTTGACAAAACACATACTGTATCTACTCTCTCATTCACACATACTAAGCAGTGTGGGTTAAGTGTCTTGCTTAAGGGTACAACAATAGTTTGACACAGCCGCTCCACTGTGGCACCTGGTGTTCCCATAGGTCTCCCATCACATCACTAACCAGGCCCTGTCCTGCTTAGCTTCAGAGGTCTGACAAAATTCCTTCAATGTCGGTTCTTCCAATCATTGTGAAGCAGAACTCACAGAGCGTTGAATTGCTCACGTGATCTGGGTTCAGACCATTGTGAGACAGGTTAGTTTTACCCTAACGATGATGTGTTGTTGCCATAGTGACGCCTATCTCCGCCATTGAAACTAATGTGCCACCACCGTTGCCTTCTGTGGGTTTTTCAAAATGGCCACGGGGCAGGAATATGTGAGAAAACTCATTTGCGCATGTGTTAGCTGCACCAGCCCCATTCATTTAATGAGTGTATTCAAAAGTCCACAGCGGCTAAACAAGACTGGTCCAAAAAAATACTCTGGAATCTGGAACGTAGCTTTGGACCAAGAGACACTTTCGGACCATTCTGTAAAGACGTTATCAAGAGGAAAGAAGACGGCATACAAAAGCATTGGGTTATTCTCCTTCCGGGTACACCCCCCACCGGCAAGAAGTGAGATTTCAGCATGTCAAGGCACGTGCTCATGGACATTTTGGAGCCAGAACCCCCCCACACGAGTTGTTGCAGTAGTAATCCTGCCCCCCCCCCGACTACCACTAATCATTCATGCACTCATTCTCATACTAAGCAATATGGGTTCAGTGTCTTGCCTAAGAGCACAACAACAGTGTACAGCTTCCCCACTGTAGTATCAATCGTACTCAGATTCCTGTTGAGATCCAGTCTTTATAAAAAACATGTATGTATTTTACATCATGAGACCATTGCTCTGACACTCTCCATGATTAACACTAGTCCAAACATGAAGGAGTCTGCTAAGTTAAAACGCAGACAGCTTTTAACCCGTAAATCCTTCCTGCTTCAATGTGTGCTGGTTTAAACACATGTTATGGGCTGCATCAGCGAGACAAAAACCTTCTCTTCAATGATTAGACGCTAGACTGATAAACAAGCCTATGACATCATGTGGAAACACTGATCCCATTCACAGACCTCATCACCCACAAAACATTCAGCATGGCGGGCGAAATCTCACACGTATAAAGCAAATTCCAGGTGGTTGGTTGGTGAGTCGCTACATGGGGGGAAACGGCTGTGTAGTCGTGGAATATCACCCTGCGTACCTCTCTCACCGCATCTTCAGAAGGCTGGGAGTCTGGAGGAGATTAGGAAACTGAGTGGTGCCTTTTGCTGGGCTCTCAGAATATCTTGTTGGAAAGAGGATGGTGTATTTCCCCAGAGAAGTGATGACCCGTTCGACTTCAAACTTCCTGTGCTTTTCCCTAGAAAGTTGATAGGAATTAGAACTGCAATAGAATCGCGGATGAAGGGGTAGCGCATGTATATCTGCACACATGTTATCACCACCACAAACAGGAACAGGACCATTTCATTAAACATTCTTGCATGTATTTGAATTGTGTTTTTTTTAGGAGTCTACAAGTTTGTACTTCTTTCCCACTGCATTTTGAGCTGACAAGGTTGAAACTAGGCCAAATATTGTTGCTTGATTGTATATTTCTGCTTATATATTTGCATGTGTAAGTATATATTGTAAAGCACATATACAGAAGGTTATGTAAAGTAAGATGTTTATGTTGTAAATACTTATGAATGTAAAATTTCTGCTCGAATGAATAAAATCAATCAGTTTACAAAGTGAAAATTGTGTGGTAATACTTTCATACAGTGGCTGAGTGGTTAGCACTCTCAGTTCTCAGTAAAATGGTCCTGAGTTTGAATCCTGGTCGGAACAGGGTCATTCTGAGTGAAGTTTGCGTGTTCTCCCTGTGTCTTACTAGGTTTCCTCTGGGTGCTTCGACCTCCCCTATCACTAAAAACATGTGCAAAAGGTTCCAGCTTCACATAGTCCTAGTCCAGACCAAACTGAGCTGCAACATCTGGAGATGGGTCCCTGGGCGCAGTCCTGAGGCGACCACTGCTCCTGACAGAGGCCCCAGTGGCAATGAATGAATGGCTCAAATCCCGAGGACAAATTACACTACGCAGACAATATAGTATAACTTAACTTATTTCGCTTGTCAACAGGGCAAATAGTATAGATGAGAAATTGAAAATTAGCTGTGTATTAGTATCACCTCAGAATCAGCATCCTGCTTCACACCGTTTCTCTCAAGACACACTAAAAACAGTACTACAGTGCCCCCATGTGTTCTTTGTGTGTATTACATGTAGACTCATAAAAAATAAATAATAATAATCTCTCTCCTTGACAACATAACATTATCCTGATGTATTCTGATTTACATATGAGCTAAATAGACGGATTGATTATTATATATTTCAACCCAGACAAAAATAAAGTTTTCTGAAGTGGCGAATCTGCGGAGAGCAACGTCACTCCCGAACAGGAAGTGCAACAACCCACGTGTCCTACACACAGCATGGATCTATGGTTCCACAGCCATAGAAAAGCCCGGATCAACTGAAGGGACTGTAAAAAACATAAACATTACTGACGTGGAACAAGAAGAGTACTTTTATTTTAGTAAAAGTTTTCCGGAACGTGGTACAAAATGTCGTCTTTCAGGAAAGCGTTGAAATCACGGCAAAGGAACCACCATGAAAGATCTCAGGTTTGTTTTTGGTTGGTTAGCTTAGCATGCTAGCTCTGGCCATCAGTGTGATTCTGTTTACTTTGCCCTTCCATAGCCTGTTTCCCGAAAACATCTGGGATTGTTGGAGAAAAAGAAGGACTACAAACTTAGAGCAGAGTAAGTGACTATGTTTTTTGTTATTTTTCAGGTATAACAAGCATATAACAACATCCTGCTAATATGTTGGTGTCTCCCCTGACTGGTCCATGTGTCTTGAATAAGTGGTTACAATTAGAACATCAACATACCAGTGTTTATAGGTTTGTTTACTTGTCCAGATTTATATAACACTGGATTTATTTCCCCTGGAGCTGATAGCCCTGTTTCCACCATCCCTGCTCTGCTATAATCTACCTTGTTTGTGTTTCCATTACCATTTCTAGTACCGTATCCTAGAAATCTATCTGTAAACATGGCTTCCAGCAGTACTCTGGCCAATCACATAGAACACTTCAGCACCAGCTCAGCCTGGATAGAACCAGGGCCAATCCCAGTAGGGGTAGAGCCAAGTGGAGTAGGGCCAATAATTGCTGCTGGAAACGAGGCTTATTTATTTGTTTGTTTTACAAGGACATTCTAGAATACATGTATTTTTTTAGACCGGACATAGCTACAGGGCGGCATGGTGGCTGCACTCTCGCTTCCCAGCAAGAAGGTCCTGGGTTCGAATCCCGGTCGAAACAGGGCCGTTTTGAGTGGAATTTGCATGTTCTCCCCGCGTCTGCGTAGGTTTCCTCCGGGTACTCCGGTTTCCCCTACCACTAAAAAAATGTGCACCAGGTCTGGCATGCGCCTCCTGTACTGGCCCTGCTCCTGGTTAGAGACCAATGCCCACTATTGTAAACCGCTTTGTGACTCTGGTCTGTGAGAGGCGGTATATAAATAAAGATTACATACTTCCTTACAAGCTTATTTTCATTTGTAGTCCTTTCGGCAGAGGCAAAGTTACAGCAGGTTTACAGTGTGCAAAGAAATAATAGATAGATTGGCCTCGTTAGCATTTAAAATACAGGTAAAAGACCCAATATATACAACACACAATTATTCACATCTGGTTAATAACTGCAGACTTGATTATCTGTGAGACAGTTCTATAGGCTGAGTTTAAACAGTCCCAGTGCCTGTCCCCATATGATATACAATCAGACAGAATATAAACGTCTTGTTTTGCCTCCTCCAGTGACTACCACAAGAAGCAAAACACACTCGCTGCTTTGCGGAAGAAAGCACTGGACAAGAATCCGGATGAGTTTTATTTTAAAATGGTCAACACTCAGCTGAAGGTTCGAGGCCGGAAGCACGTTTTCTTGTTGACGTCGTCCTTTGCGGTGTGTGTTTCAACTCTTCCCTGAACGTTTACGCAGGAGGGAGTTCACACAGATAAGAAATCCACCGAGGAAGAGACGACGGAGGAGCAGAAGAAGATGATGCGAACGCAGGACATTAAATATATAGAGATGAAGAGAGTCGCTGAAGCCAAGGTGGGTTTGAATGGATTTGTATTAGGGCTGTGCGATATGGCAAAAAAAAAAAATCTCCGATTTTTTTACACCAAATCCGATTTTCGATTTTAATCGATTTATTTTTTTCTATTTAAAAACAAACTACAACTGACAAAGAAATAGATTTTCCTTTATTCAGTTTAATCTAAATCCCCATGGAGCATAAGTGTAACAGGAATTAAGCCTTAAAACATGCTTGTAAACGAGATGGCTCTGCCATTGTAAACAGTGAAAATGTAGCTTAACAGTTTTATAATAACTTCACTTACAATGACACTATGCACCTTCAAAATAACTTAAATCACACAAACAAGGCCCATCGCAAATATATCAATCCTATTAAACACATGCATTATTTACATGAAATATCACATTTTTAAAACTGATTACTCAAAATAGAAATGTTGTAACAGTCTTTTCCAAAAGCCTCCTCGGGTTTTCATGCTTGCTCTTTCAACTGTGCCTGAGTAACTGTGCTGTAGTACAACGCTCGGTCCAGCTGGTGGCGCTAATACTAACTTCAGTGACTCCCACATTGTGCGAGCTTCCTGTTTACATTCTGATGCTGTAGCTAACAGCTACTGTAGCTAACAGCTACTGTAGCTAACAGCTACTGTAGCAGCTACTGTAGCTAGCAGACAGCGGGGAACACGTTGTTTGTATCAGAGCAATGAGAGCAATGTGTGAGACGTGTCTTTCCCCAAAGTGCAGCGGCTCAGTGGGACACGAGTGTGTGCGCGCCACGGACACGGGAGTGCGCTTTGGAATAACGAGCGTGAGAGAGCGTGAAAGATGTGGCGTACGAACATGGCGTACGAACATAGCGACCGGAGCCTGCGTGTGTGCGTGTGTGTTCTGGCGATTTAAATAAAGTCTGATTCTTGAACGTTTGAAGTGTTATTGCAACAGCACCAACTGTGAGAGCGAGCATCAGGCCAGAGGGAAACTGTTAGCATTAGGTTAGCTTCAAAATGACTGCTCAACACCATAGACCCGCGGTTAGCGCGTTAGCGCTGTAGTTCTGCGATGGAGAAAATAAAAATCGAATTTTTAAAAAAAGAAATTGCCCTAAACGTAAAACTCGAATTAATGATTAAAATCGATTAATCGCCCAGCCCTAATTTGTATATTCCTTCAGTAAAATAACATGCTCACTGCAGGGGACGGCAAAAGTATAGTTACATTTAGATATTAGGTTAAACTAGAGTAGAATCGCTACTTGACTTTCGGCCCTTATTGAGACCACGGGACAAGATTGGGCTTTTCCTGAGAAGTTTGAGAAAGATTTTTTGTCTACATCAGAACAAGCCTTAAACATTGTGGTGCTAAACAAAAACACAGGACATGAAGGTTTTTTTGGATCGCATTAAAAGTAGTTAAAATATGAATTAACAAAAAAAACTGAAAGAAATGCCAAAAATCTGGTAGGACAAATCAGAAAACAAACTCAAACTTAATTTAAATAGACTTACACTGGTATTATCCTCGTCAACAACGCACAACAAAGGACATACTTCGTGGATTAGCATCGTCAAAACTACTGCGCATCAATTATAAACAACCATATGGGAACCAGGTGTCGAGTCACATGTATACGCACACTGCACGTATTAGACATTTATACCCTGTCCATGCAAATGCAAACGTTATATTCAATAATTTAACTCTGTTTCCACGGTGACCTCCCAAACTCAAACAAAGTCAAGTACTTTATCCAAGCACGGGTCTCGGTTTAACTGCTTCTTTTGCCAAATCTATCAAATCAAGTTCAATGTTTCTTACCTTATTTGTGGCAATACCTAGACACAGATCTCGTAAGACCCTCTGAAGCTAAGCAGGGCAGGGCCTGGTTAGTTCTGTGATGGGAGACCTCCGGGAACCCCTTGTGCCGCAGTGGGGCGGCTGCGGCTGTAAAGTGCCAAACTGTGGTTGTGTCCTTAGGCAAGACACTTCACCCACATTAGAATGAGTCTGGTGTGTGTGTGAATGTGTCGGTGGTGGAGGGGTGGAGGGAGGGAGGGAGGGAGGGAGGGGCCAATAGCACAGACTGGTTGCCTCGCTCCTGTCAACGTGCCCCAGGGCAGCTGTGGCTACAGTAGTAGTTTATCAGCACCGTGTTTGGAGTGAGTGAATATTTGCAGCGTCTGTGTCTTTGAAAAAGCAGTATTATTAGTATTCATTTCAGCTTGAGTTGCTTGTGTATGAATTGTGCTATATAAATAAACGCGCCTTCCCAGGGAGCCCAAAAGAGTGCTCTGAAATCATGGCTGTGGTTTTGAGCATCAAGTCTATTCTTTTCAGTCGATACGATAGATATAGATACTTTTTGGATCCCTGTAGAAGAAATGCAGGTGTCCAGAAGCAGCAGACACGCATCCATCCAAACAAGCAAAACAAATAACAAACAGATAATTATAAAAGTAGCAACAATATTATTCAAATGCCACAGAACTTTCGGTCACAGCTGCAGAGTTAGAGAGAGTACTACTACCACTAACCGCTACTGGTGTGACTTTGCTGTGACTTTTCAGAAAATTGAGAGGTTAAAAGGCGAGCTCCATCTTTTAGACGGAGACGACAAACCCAAGAACACGCACACGTTCTTTGTGGATTCCAAGAAACAAGGTGGCGTTTAAGTTCTCGAACCGCAGACACATTCAAGTTTAACTCATCCAACAGCCCGACTATTTACTCATTTCAGTGGCGGCGTTTGACCTGGCAACCCACCTCAACACCATGCCCGAGCTGGTGGGCCGAGTCTTCAACAGACCCACTCTAGACACGCTGAGAACCAAGAGAATCCACGGAGCCGTCGATCCGCAAAGTCTGGAGGTCTGTACTGTGTGTGTGTGTGTGTGTGTGTGTGTGTTTCTTGAATACTGTGTGTCTGTGTGTGTTTCTTGAATACTGTGTGTCTGTCTGTGTGTCTGTGTCTGTTTCTTGAATACTGTGTGTCTGTGTCTGTTTCTTGAATACTGTGTGTCTGTGTCTGTTTCTTGAATACTGTGTGTCTGTCTGTGTGTCTGTGTCTGTTTCTTGAATACTGTGTGTCTGTCTGTGTGTCTGTGTGTGTGTGTGTTTCTTGAATACTGTGTGTCTGTGTCTGTTTCTTGAATACTGTGTGTCTGTGTCTGTTTCTTGAATACTGTGTGTCTGTGTCTGTTTCTTGAATACTGTGTGTCTGTGTCTGTTTCTTGAATACTGTGTGTCTGTGTCTGTTTCTTGAATACTGTGTGTCTGTCTGTGTGTCTGTGTCTGTTTCTTGAATACTGTGTGTCTGTGTCTGTTTCTTGAATACTGTGTGTCTGTCTGTGTGTCTGTGTCTGTTTCTTGAATACTGTGTGTCTGTCTGTGTGTCTGTGTGTGTGTGTGTTTCTTGAATACTGTGTGTCTGTGTCTGTTTCTTGAATACTGTGTGTCTGTGTCTGTTTCTTGAATACTGTGTGTCTGTCTGTGTGTCTGTGTCTGTTTCTTGAATACTGTGTGTCTGTGTCTGTGTGTCTGTGTCTGTTTCTTGAATACTGTGTGTCTGTGTCTGTTTCTTGAATACTGTGTGTCTGTGTCTGTTTCTTGAATACTGTGTGTGTGTGTGTGTGTGTGTGTGTGTGCGTGCGCGTGCGTGTGCAAATGGCCCCAGGCGGATTTCCACATGTGTCGTATACAGACATTAGCATGCAGCGCTTTAGCCACATGTGAATTCTACGTCCCATAATAAGGATAATAATGTATTTTAACGGTTTTGAATATTTCTTCTGGTAGAAACTAAGTAAGCAGCGAAGGCACCAGTACAAGATCCTAGGCCAGAGGATTGACCGAGAGAAGAAGATGTTTGTCATCAGCGAGAAAATTCAAACCAGAAAAGACTTACAGGTGAGATCTGAGCAGATGGTTTTAGATTTAATGTTGGCTTGAGTTTGGGTTTCAAAATAAAATGCATCTTTTTCTGCTCAGGATAAAAGAAAGAAGATTAAAGTGAAGAAAGAGACAAAAAATGCGTCTGCTGTTTATAAGTTTGAAACCAAGAGGCAGCGTTGAACAGAAATGTGATTCCCAAATCCAACATTTACTGCGATCGTTTTTCAATTCAAAGGAGTTTATTTTGGTACAGGCCCCAAATCACAGCAGGAGTCGTCACAGGGGAAGTTCACAAAGGTGTCGATTCTCCAACAACGGATCAGGAATAACAATAAACACATAGGAGCCAATGGTTCATGGGGAGAAGGATGACCAAAAATGTCCAGAAATGTTTTTAAATGTCCAAAAATATGAATAAATTGTTAGAAATGTCCTGGATCATCACAGCAACTCAAACCGGTAGGAAAAAGTGGAAAAAAAATGGCGAGACGTGTTCACTCCCGACAACCTATGACAGGATTCAGGCTGTAGAACGAGGACTGTTCATTATGTTCATATTTATTAATAAAAATTCTAAATATCTGAGTTTTCTGTTGTCTGGGACAGAAGCCAGGTTTTGCTGCCAGTAGATGGCATTGGTGTTCTTTGTCTCTGCTAAAAGTATCTGCAGCCTGAAGCACTCACACATTCTTACAATGAGTTACCAACATGAAGAAGGCCATTTTGTTAATACTTATATTTTACTTTTATAAGTGAGGGTGGCTCTCTCTCTCTTCACTTTTTAGTCTGAGAAAGCTGATCTACAGATAAGACTAGAGGCCAAAATCACATGCATATGAAGTGACAGAATCAACCTGTTAAAGCTGTACGCTCGGTATATTTTGATACACTTCCATTTTTGTGCTCTGAGAATTACATACCCCAGCTTTAATATACAATGGGGCAAAGCAGTTGTCAGCCTCCTGTTGTGCTAGTTCCCTCTTTTAAAGATGAGTCATTTTCATCATTCATTTCAAAACCTGCACAAAAAATATACAATTATCAACTGAAAAACATGTCTTGAGTTTTGAGGCACCAGAAAAATCACAAGAAAAAAAAAAGCTAAAAAGAGGGAAAATAGGACCTTAGTTGATAACAATGACATTTTTCAACCAACATTAAATAAAGTCATAATTTTTATATTCACACAAAAATTGTAACTTTCAAGTACACAGAGTTAGATGAACATTTACTTTTCTTTTTTTTTTATGTCTGTCTGTGTCTGTGTGTGTGTGTCTGTCTGTGTCTGTCTGTGTGTGTGTGTCTGTGTCTGTCTGTGTGTGTGTGTGTCTGTGTCTGTCTGTGTGTGTGTGTCTGTCTGTGTGTGTGTGTCTGTGTCTGTCTGTGTGTGTGTGTGTGTCTGTGTCTGTCTGTGTGTGTGTGTGTGTCTGTCTGTGTCTGTGTCTGTCTGTGTGTGTGTGTCTGTTTCTTGAATACTGTGTGTCTGTCTGTGTGTGTGTGTGTCTGTGTCTGTCTGTGTGTGGGTGTGTCTGTGTGTGTGTGTGTGTGTTTCTTGAATACTGTGTGTGTGTGTGTGTCTGTGTGTGTGTGTCTGTCTGTCTGTGTGTGCGTGTGTTTCTTGAATACTGTGTGTGTCTGTCTGTGTTTGTGTCTGTCTGTGTGTGTGTCTGTGTGTCTGTCTGTGTGTGTGTGTGTGCAGAGACAGTGCACAGATGCAGAGACTGAAGCTGAAGGACAGTCTTTTGTGAGCCACATCCTTCAAACGCAGCCTTTGACTTTTGCAGATCACATTCAGTTTGTCGACTCTCAAACACTGAGGGCTCCGGCAGTTTCCACATCTGTGTGTGGTCTGTTTGTCTTTCTAAGATGTCTAATGATTTATTTCTGTTGTGATTAAATACATAAAACCAGAAATAAAACGTGCAGAGATCAGACTGAGAACAGGAGCTGAGTGAGGGGAAAGATGTCAGATGACTTCAATCAATGAATCTTTATTTATAAAACGCTTTCCGTACAAAAAGAAACACTGTAATTCAAAGTTTATAAAACAAAAGAAAAAATCAGGAATAAAAATAATAATACAGATTCAGATTTATTTTATTTGCCATGTGCAGAATAAAAACCACATTTGCAAAAAAAAGGTCCTCTGTGTGCACCAACATAATAATAATGCATTGGTTTTATACAGCGCTTTTTCAGGACACTCAAAGAGGCTTCACATGTCATTCATTCACTCCATACACTACTGTAGCCACAGCTGCCCTGGGGCACACTGACAGAGGTGAGACAACCAGTAAGTAACCATTCACACACACACCAGACTCATTCTAATGTGGGTGAAGTGTGCCTCACTGTGTTACCTGGCAGGTGAAAGACAGATCCCGTTAGACCTCTGAACCTGTGCAGGGTGGGGCCTGGTTAGTACTGTGATGGGAACCCTCACACCAGCCACAGTGGGGCGGCTGCGGCTGTAAAGTGCCAAACTGCTGTTGTGTCCTTAGGCAAGACACTTCCCCCACATTAGAATGAGTCTGGTGTGTGTGTGAATGGTTGGTGGTGGTGGGAGGGGCCAATGGCACAGACTGGTTGCCTCGCTTCTGTCAGTGTGCCCCAGGGCAGCTGTGGCTACAGTAGTAGTTTATCACCACCGTGTTTGGAGTGAAAGAATAATGACATGTGAAGCTTCTTTTTAATTATCTTTTTAGAACAAGATCATTTTGCTTTGTCCCAGCTGCAAATTCTGTTTTACGGCTCAGTCAGAATGTGCTCAAATTAAGACACATTTTGCCAAATTTAAGCAGTTTTTGACTTATTTCCCATCACTTTTTGCAGTGTCTGAAGAGCTATGATGTTGGTGCCAAACTAGTCTCATTTTATTGACACCCTTTTAATTATAATCCATGATTTTATTTGACTCATTACAATTTTAACAACAGCCCAAGAGTCCTCTGGCCCTGAACCCACAGCTGCTTCCAAACTCCAGACTGGATCCTTCTCTCAGCCATCAGTCTCTGTCATAAAAATCAAAGTTTATTAGCCCAATATACAGTATCAAAAGCCTTCATAAATCCACATAACTGTACGTGCGTCGCAGTCGTCTGAACCAAAGTGTAAAGTGTAATTACTGCTTTCATTTCATCCTGTGTGATAGACTCACGGCTCCGGAGCGGCAGGACTGACCCAAGCCTGATCGATCACAGAGGAGGCAGCCGCTTCATAAACAGCAGCCATCCATCAGCCTGTCCCGGGACACACAGAGGGAGAGAGAGAACAGAGAGAGAGAGGGAGGGAGCGAGAGAGATCAGAGAGATCAGAGAGAGAGACACACACACACACACAGAGAGAGAGAGAGCAGGGCGTGGAGACAGAGAGAGAACAGAGAGATCAGAGAGAGAGACACACACACACACACAGAGAGAGAGAGAGACACACACACAGAGGGAGAGAGAGCAGGGCGTGGAGACAGAGAGAGAACAGAGAGAGAGAGGGAGGGAACGAGAGAGAAATCAGAGAGAGCGAGAGAGAGATCAGAGAGAGAGGGAGAGAGAGATCAGAGAGAGAGACACACACACACACAGAGAGAGACACACACACAGAGGGAGAGAGAGCAGGGCGTAGAGACAGAGAGAGAACAGAGAGAGAGAGGGAGGGAACGAGAGAGAGATCAGAGAGAGAGACACACACACAGAGAGAGAGAGAGACACACACACACACACACACACACAGAGAGCGAGAGAGAGCAGGGCGTGGAGACAGAGGGAGAGGGAGAGAGAGATCAGAGAGAGAGGTAGAGGGAGATAAGAGATAGAGGGAGAGAGATCAGCGAAAGAGGGAGGGAGAGAGAAAGAGACACACACACAGAGAAAGAGCGAGACACAGAGAGAGAGAGAAAGACACACAGAGAGAGAGAGAGAGACACACTTTGTGTTGTATCTTTTGTATGAAAAGCGCTTTATAAATAAAATTTGATTGATTGATTGATTGACACACAGAGAGAGAGAGACACACACACAGAGAGAGAGAGAGAGAGATCCAGGCCAGAAATGTCAACGGCCCCCTCCAATAGTGAACCAGGAGGACCTCAAGGCTTTGGCCCAGATGGTGCTGACCAGAGCAAAGGTGGGCCAAGATCCAGACAGGTCAGAGTGAGGGAAGAGTAATGGCCGCCGCTTCTGTCCCGGCGGCGCAGCCAATATAGAAAACTCAATACAAAGTGGAATGGGAGAACGTGGAGGTGGTGTATGCAAATGTGCGGGGAGTAAATTGATATACAGTTTGCGTTTGTGTATCTGCCAGACAAAAATGTAAAATAAAAAAGAAGAAATATGCAGGAGGTAAAACACTTTGTCCAGAAAAGTGCCGACAATTGATATGTTTCGATTTGTGTATTTTTCGTGATTTTTTTTGCAACATATGACATGAAACCGAGTTGTATAGACACAGGTGATTATTTACTATAGCTGCAGGTCAAAGCCAGATCCTTTCACACCTCTGAAGCTAAGGAGGGCAGGGCATGGTTAGTACTGAGATGGGAGACCTCAGGGAACAGCAGGTGGGGAGGCTTCGGCTGTATAAGCAGGCAAGATACTTCACCCGCACTAAATAATAATAATGAGTCTGGTGTGTGTGTGTGTGTCTGTGAATGGCTTGTACTGGTCAGGAGGAGCTCTTGGGACATACTGGTTGCCTCGCTTCTGTCAGTGTGCCCCAGGGCAGCTGTGGCTATAGCAGTAGTTTATCACCACCGTGTATGGAGTGAATGAATAATGTCATGTGAAGTGTGTGTCCAAAAAGGCAAAAACCAATGCATTATTATTGAGTTTGAGATTTTTTGCATTTAGGAGTTTGGCTTGTCTTTTCTAACCACATGAGTTCAGTTATGTTTGGGTTGAACCAAAAAACCCCTTCTCAACACGGCCATATCCTAATGTGGACCCCCAACGAGAATAATTGCCAATAATTCATTCAACGAGGACGCCACAACAAACATACAGTTCAATATATTAATCTCTCTTTGCTTTTTTAACCTTCTATCAATTGTAAGAACTCCATCCGTTTGCGATCGAACGACATCTACTCTCAGATATTTCCAAATAAACTCGTCCTTGTATCAGCTGTCACTGCCTGCCCCTGAAATGCCACTTGCTCCCGACTTGACATTTTCCTCTCTTCTCATTGATGTCTGTGAATGACTGCCCCCCCCAACCCTCCCCCAACCCTCCCACCCCTCCTGCGTCACAGCCTGCGTACACCCCGGCCTTCCGGGGGGGGGGGGGGGGGGGTCAGCAGTGAGAGCCCAGGGGTCAGAAAACTGTGTGCGCAAATCCGGGACCCCAATCTAACCGGCCGAGCCTCCACAGACCAGCCACTGTTCCTCCTCAACGTCCCCTTTCTTTCCCTGGAGCGTTCATACTGGATACGGGGGGGGGGGGGCTGTGCTGGACCCAGGGGGGGGGGGGGGGGGGGGGCAGCGGGCGACCTCCGTGATTTTAAAGATATAGACAGACATTCCTCTATTGTCGGAGAGCGAGTAATTCATTTGGCCATCCTCCTGTCGCCCCTGACCCCAGCGTAGTGACCCCTGGAGGTTTGCTGAGGGACAGTCATTTTAGGAATGGAGGGGTAAGAGGGTAAAGGGGTAAAGGGGCGGATGGCGGGGGCAGCTGCAGGGCCGTGACATTGACCCTTATGTATAAGAGCCAACTGGTTAAGAACGACAAAGGACTGCTGTGGGTGAGCTGTGACACTGGGACAGGACCAACAGTAGCTGGAAAAGCAGAACTTTTCAACAATAATAATAATAATAATAATAATGATAAAGATAAAGGATATTTTGTGGTGCACTGTAAAAAGTGTTGCTTAAATCATAAATTAGAAAATCATTGTAAGAGGTTCCATGGGCCTTTTGTGTTCTGTCAACTACTGTCCATTGTATTTGTTTTTGTCATTAATGGAACGCCACACTTACAAAAGTAATATTTATTTATGTTTATATTTCAATTGTGACAATACATCACATAACACAATTACATTTCAAAAGAATTGTAGTCGCAAAAATGAAAAGGATCAGAAAGGAGAAAAAATAAATCTTATGTTGCCTGCCCCTTTCCCTAAACAAAAAATAAATAAAAGAATAAGATTCAGTAGCGTGGTCTTACCATGTGTAAACTCTGGTTCATGATCATCTCCTACATGTACGTCTGGTCTTACCATGTGTAAACTCTGGTCCATGGTCATTTCCTACATGTACGTCTGGTCTTACCATGTGTAAACTCTGGTCCATGGTCATTTCCTACATGTACGTCTGGTCTTACCATGTGTAAACTCTGGTCCATGGTCATTTCCTACATGTACGTCTGGTCTTACCATGTGTAAACTCTGGTCCATGGTCATTTCCTACATGTACGTCTGGTCTTACCATGTGTAAACTCTGGTCCATGGTCATTTCCTACATGTACGTCTGGTCTTACCATGTGTAAACTCTGGTCCATGGTCATTTCCTACATGTACGTCTGGTCTTACCATGTGTAAACTCTGGTCCATGGTCATTTCCTACATGTACGTCTGGTCTTACCATGTGTAAACTCTGGTCCATGGTCATTTCCTACATGTACGTCTGGTCTTACCATGTGTAAACTCTGGTCCATGGTCATTTCCTACATGTACGTCTGGTCTTACCATGTGTAAACTCTGGTCCATGATCATCTCCTACATGTACGTCTGGTCTTACCATGTGTAAACTCTGGTCCATGATCATTTCCTACATGTACGTCTGGTCTTACCATGTGTAAACTCTGGTCCATGATCATTTCCTACATGTACGTCTGGGTCTGATCCTAGTGGCTGCAGTTTCCTCGGTTGAATCTCCTCCGACCAATCAGAGAGCGGGGGAGGCGGGTGTTGTAGGTCGGTGTCGGTGTCGGTGATGTTAAGAGTTTGCGCCGAATTTGTTCTGGTTCAATCCAAATATCAAGAAACTGAAGCCGGAGCAAGAGGAATGTTTAGTAAATGTCATTGAAGCAAAGATGTTGTGGCTCTTCTCCCCACGGGCTCCGTCAGTGGCAAAGGAGATGGCTAAAGCTAGGCTACATGCTAAAGCTAGGCTACATGCTAATACTAGGCTACATGCCTCACTCACTCAGGCGCATTACATACTGTATGTCACTCAGGATCTTGTAAACTCAGACGCAATGGTTTCAATCTGCAAAAGGAGTTAACCCCTCCCACCTGTTAACGGAGTCAGTGGAGCAAATCAAGACCTTTGTCCAGGCATGATCAAACTCAGGCCTGCGGGCCAATTGCGGCCCTCTGTGCCATTTTATGTGGCCCTTCTGCTGCTAACACAAAGTCGCCATTGAGGCACTTTGACAATGTCATCCAACCAACTTCAGCTCCACCAATAAAGTCGTATACCTTGTTGTAAATCTAAGACCCCCTGGAATCCACTCATTAACTCTATTGTTATTATCTGTCATTTGTTCAAAATGCTTTTATTGTAACATTTGTTTTGCGATGCACACTATTTGTGTGCAAAAGGCTTAATCCAGAGAGCAAAAACACATTCACCGCCAGTTTTTTTCTCTTCCTTAAACACTGAGCTACACGGGCTGACACGGCAGAACTACTCACTATTTAACCCACCTCTCGATGTAGTCTTTTTGCCGAGGCGTTAGTAAAAACCACAGACAAATACAGCTGTTATTAAGGCAGCAATAAAACCAAACTGTTTCATAGCCCGTTGCTTACATGTGGGTCAACAGCACGAGGGACAATACTTTGCATAATGACCGCGTAACAAGCCTGCAAATGAGAAAGGAGCTTGTGTGGACGCCGGCCTCCACGAATCAGACTTTAGACAAATAAACAATATTCAAGGGATCAGATCTCCAAGGTCACTGTGTACCTCTCTCATCTCCAGTGACACAATCAGAGTTTCACAGCGTTCACATGGTTTTATACTAAAACAAAATACAGGAGCTCCTCTAAGTGTCTCCCACTCCGTTCCAGTCGGGTGGCCAGGTTTTGGATTGAAGGGGTGGCCAGAGAAAACACACAATCACGGGAAGAAATACTCTTAGTGGGAAACTTGTTTATCAATCCATACACTTTATTTTGTTTACTTCTCTAAAGACTCTTTCTAAGGCCACTCTTTCCATCAAAGTTGTTGCCCAAGGCTCTGAAAACTGCTCAAAATGTAGTCATTCGAGCCAAGTTTCTCGTCCATTTTTTACCCAAATGAAAAATACCTCTCCATAACCCACACCAACTTGTACGTTTATGCTTCTCCCAGATCCTGCATTTTTGGTCCCTGCTTCTGCCCCCTCCCCTGCTGTCAGACACCCCCTGGGGCTTTGAGGTGCAGTAGGATGTGTGTGTGTGTGCTAAAGGTGGTGGGGCAGGCGTATGAAGCCCCCGTCATGATTTAGGCTCCAATGCAAATTTAATCAATTCAAGTGCCTCTCACAAGCCAGGGCTCATTAGCGGCAATTTAAAAGGAGGCCGTGTGATCCACCACCTCTGAGCATGAGCCAGACACATCCAACCTCTCCATGCAAACAATAGCAGCATCCTGTCCCATAGCCAAACATACAAACACACACACACAAACACACACACACACACATGCACCCGTGTACTCGTCAGGGCCACTGTCAAAGCTGTAAAGATTTTCTCCCCCCCTGGCATGAAGAGACCCCCTCCCTCCAATGGTCCCTCCTCTCAATCCACTGCTTCAAAAGCCCCATGACACCCGGCTTCAAGTTAAAGGAGAGAAATAAAAGATAAAAAGTGTGTCTCATCCCCCCACCACTGGACCCCCACCCAACACACAGACCGCGGGCTACCTCTCTTTCTTCTCCCCCACCGCCTCACCCGCTCTGCCATGGCCAAACGAGGGATCGATTAGAGCTCTCCTTAACCGTGCTTAACCTTGTCTCCCGATGCGGAGGCTGAACGGTAAAGGAGAGTTAGAATATGCTTTAGTAATATGAGTGTTTTTAGGGAGGACGCTGTGAGTTTAGACTTCACACATGTTTAAGAGACAAAGACAGAAAGGAGAGCTCTAAACAAGGTTCTCTGCTCTGAAAGAAGACTGTAATCTGTCTGTTCTGGAGCCTCTTTAAGCAAAAGGATATGATTGACAATGATTAGCAATAACACTGGTAGTACTTTATTCCCAGAGCAGCATTTATTCAACTATTCCAAATAGTGGAGGAGATTAATTGCATAAAACAAACTTCTGATACACCCAAAAAATGCGGAATATATTTTTATAGCATAATATTCTACATTTTAGTAAGAGGGCCACTTTTGTTCACCAGATTAGTCCAGGGGCCGACATCACAAATTGAAAAATTGTCTTGACTGGCATCGGGCTGTTCTGAGCTTTAAAATGATCTATAACAGAGCTGAAGTTGGCTGAATGACAATCTCACTAGCACCAATATCGGAAGTTGTCCTTTGGGACACAATCAAAATCCATGTCAGTACATTATGTACAAATAAAGTCAATTATTCATCAAAAATCCAGACGTACTGAGCTTTAGAACAAGGTACCACATGTCTATATTGACTGAGCTGAAGTTGGACGGATGACACAGTGAACTTGTGTTTATGATCTCAAAGACTACTTTGGGTCAGCAAGGCAGAGGGCCAGATAAAATGACACTGAGGGCCGCAATTGGCCCGCGGGCCTGAGTTTGGACATGCCGGGTCTTACTGGAAAAAGGGCACATGCATGTTCAACCACTGAACCACAACAACAGCTTTGACCATGTCTGTATCTCCACAGCTACGTTCAAACCAACACTCTGCATGTAAACAGATACAGAACGATCCAACCACCCCCCTTCCTGGACCCCCATCCTATCCCCGCTCCCCATCACAGCCTTGGGGTTGGTGTCTGTGTCTGTACAGGGCAGACCATGGGGGTGGGACTTGGTGCTTTCCTGTCAGTCCATCAGTCAGGCTCCGCGCCTCAGGGATGTGTTCATTAGGCTTTAACTACCGGATCTGTCCTTGTCTCCAGCCTCTGAGTGTCATTGTCTGCTGCCATCATGGCGTGTGTGTGTACTGTGTATTTATGCACGTGTCGCCGCGGATCACAACACTCTATATACGCGTGTGCGGGAGGTTAAATGTGTTTTGACATTGTGCAATAGCCTGTAATTACTGATAATGGACACGGGCATTGTCTTTGAGACGAGTGCTTGTAACCACTACGGAGGCGATGGATGGGGGCTGTGAGAAAGGCCACGCAAGGAGAGAGCGCTCACGTCATTTTGGATATTTAGTTGAGTTCTGTGCAGCATGTTTTGTCCTCTTGTGTGATCTTTGTCCTCTTCCAGCGCCGTGACCTGGAGCTGGCGAAGGCACACCTGCTGGAAACCTGGCTCAGACGGAGAGGAGGGACTAAAAGAGACAGTACACAAATGGCGCTTTTCCACAGCACCGGCACTACACCACTCTACACGACACGTCACGACCCGGTCGAGTACGCGTGCTTTTCCACATATCTCCATTGGACATCTTCAAGTGGGTGGGCTTTTCATACCACCGCTACCGTTACGCCATTTCCGCGCGACTCACGAGCATTAAACCAGGAAAAACATTACATCCTCAAACAATGGAGGACTCCGAGACAATCGTGGTGTTGCTGCTCTCTCTGTGGCTACTAGTCACAAATAGACTGAAAAGCCTGAGAAGAATCCAGGCGGCGAGACACCAAAGAATGACGAAGTTATTGAAAACCTTGCAGGAGTTTGCAGTTGAGGACAGCAGACAACGAGCTGAAAAAAGACGACGTTTGTGGGTTTGCTACTGGCTCTGAGTACCGAAGCATTGGTCACCTTTTTGGAGTCAGTATAAAGCCTAGCGTACATCGACAGAGAAACTGGAGACAACTAGTTGCAAGGCGGCTTTTGGCAACTGAGAGGAGATGGTGGGAGATGATCAGTTGCCAAAATCGGTCGATGTGCGCGCTCTTACAACTGGAGATGATCAGTCGGTCTCCAGTTTCAGTCAGTTGCCCGTGTTCTACTTTTCGGCAACTAGTTGTCCTCAGTTTCGGAGATATGACCCGATGTGCGCGCTCCATGCGCCGCTCCGACAACGTGTGTGTGTTGCGTGTATTACGAGCCCGCAACAGTTTATGTCAGAAAACACACTGTAGGTGACGGACAGTTGCTGTCGATGTACGCGCTGTTATTCCCGAGACTGGTCTGATACTGGAGTGGCCCGTTTTCGTCAGATTGTCGATGTGTGCAGGGCAGCAACTCATATGCGACGGATATAATCAGTTGCCAGTCCGATGTACGCTAGGCTTAACAACGGTGTGCCGCTGTGTGCAAGACTTTTGTGCTGCAGCAAATGCGGTGTTGGTCCCAGCGCAGATCCGTTGTCCTACTGAGGAGAAATTCAGGGAGATTGCTGCCTACAACGAGAACAGATGGGGGGTCCCACACTGCGTTGGTGCCATTGATGGATCCCACATCCCTATCATGGCTCCACAGGAATGTCATTGTGACTATTTCAACCGCAAAGGGTGGCATTCCATTATTCTCCAAGGTGGGGTCACTCCGGGTCCGCTGCACGTGTTGCAAGATTCTGAATTCACTGTGTTATAATAATAATAATAATCAGTTTAATTATATAGCGCTCTTTGGGAGGCTAGATGGGCTTCACATAGTAGAGCGTGATTGGTCGGAAAGTTTAATTGAATTTTTATACGTTTTTACAAGGATTTTGAACTTGAGGGAGATTAGAAACACAGGTACAGGATGTAAACAGCACAGGGCTATAGGAGGCAGATTAGAAACACAGGTACAGGATGTAAACTCCAAAGGGCTATGGGAGGGAGATTAGAATCACAGGTACAGGATGTAAACAGCAAAGGGCTATGGGAGGCAGATTAGAAACACAGGTACAGGATGTAAACAGCAAAGGGCTATGGGAGGCAGATTAGAAACACAGGTACAGGATGTAAACAGCAAAGGGCTATGGGAGGCAGATTAGAAACACAGGTACAGGATGTAAACAGCACAGGGCTATAGGAGGCAGATTAGAAACACAGGTACAGGATGTAAACAGTACAGGGCTATAGGAGGCAGATTAGAATCACAGGTACAGGATGTAAACAGCACAGGGCTATGGGAGGCAGATTAGAAACGCAGGTACAGGATGTAAACAGCAAAGGGCTATGGGAGGCAGATTAGAATCACAGGTACAGGATGTAAACAGCAAAGGGCTATGGGAGGCAGATTAGAATCACAGGTACAGGATGTAAACAGCAAAGGGCTATGGGAGGCAGATTAGAATCACAGGTACAGGATGTAAACAGCAAAGGGCTATGGGAGGCAGATTAGAATCACAGGTACAGGATGTAAACAGCAAATGGCTATGGGAGGCAGATTAGAAGCACAGGTACAGGATGTAAACAGCAAAGGGCTATGGGAGGCAGATTAGAAGCACAGGTACAGGATGTAAACAGTACAGGGCTATAGGAGGCAGATTAGAATCACAGGTACAGGATGTAAACAGCAAAGGGCTATGGGAGGGAGATTAGAAGCACAGGTACAGGATATAAACAGCACAGGCCTTTAGGAGGCAGATTAGAAACACAAGTACAGGATGTAAACAGCACAGGGCTATAGGAGGCAGATTAGAAGCACAGGTACAGGATGTAAACAGCGCACGGTGGCTGAGTGGATAGCACTCTCGCCTCTCAGCAAGAAGGTCCTGGGTTCGAATCCCGGTCGGACCAGGGCCTTTCTGAGTGGAGTTTGCATGTTCTCCCCGTGTCTGCGTAGGTTTCCTCCGGGTACTCCGGTTTCCCCTACCACTAAAAATATGTCCAATAGGTCTGGCATGCGCCTCCTGTACTGGCGACCCCGCTCCCATCTCTGTGTGGAGTGAGAGACAAATGCCCATAATTAACAATTTGAGACGCAGATCTGCAGTGAAAAGGCGGTATATAAATAAAAACTTACTTACTTACACAGGGCTATGGGAGGCAGATTAGAAACACAGGTAGCGGATGAACTCCACAGATTAACATTAACACAACATCAGGAAATCACTTCATTTAAAAAAAAAATCTATATAAATTTAAATGACCCTTGAAATATGCGTAACGGACGTGATGGTTTCCCAAAAAAAAAAAAAAAAAAAATTGTAACTTGAGAAAAACAATTATGGTCTTCCTTGACATTTAATTGGTTTACTCAATGAAAGTATCTCTATTTTTCAATCTACATATGAATCAAATGAGAATCTGAAAATATATAACTTCAGCTCATTCAAACACAGATAATCAGGGTCACTATATGAAACTTGAATAATGTATTAAAAAGTTATCTTCTAGTTCTACTTATGGACAGAGGAGGGATTTGGATACATGAGAATCACAATATATCTTCTGATTATAAAAATCACATTTTTGGTACACTTTTTGACCAAGACCAAAAACATAACCAGAGTAATGACACTTCCAAAAATGAAACTAATGGAGTTTCTCTGGGAGTTCTGCAGTTAACCGCTGACTCTGCTCCATCCGAGATACTTTGTGCGTTTGGGCCGATGGCGCTCTGTACGGCGCTCTGTACGGCGCTCTGTACGGCGCTCTGTACGGCGCTCTGTACGGCACTCTGTACGGCGGGATGCGTGTGCCTGGTGCGGGGCTCGCGCGTGTTAGTGTCGGGTGATTGCCGTAATCAGCTGAGGCCGTTAATCAGGGTTTGTTCGTCAGTGGCCTGATGAGGGGCGCTGAGGGCCGCTGATTGTAATGCCACGCTTTGATCGGTCTCGACTACAGACAATCATCATCATACTTTTTTTCCCCAGTTTACTGAAATTCCACTTTTCTAAATGAAGATTGCCAAAGTGTAAACAAACAATGTAAACAAAGCTTCTATATGACTTCAAGCTATAGATGGAAATCAGATGTGTTTTGTATTATGTTGCTTTCAATCCAGTGGACACAATGGCTGTCGATGTGTTATATATCACTGTTTAGGTGTCAGAGTCACCCCTATCAAACAATATAAGATGGGGGAGGAGGTAGGAAGCTAGTAGCGGTATAGGTTTGTGATTGGTTGGGGGCTGGGCAGGCAAATGTGACCCCCTCGCTTCTATATCTTGTCACATACTGCCTTCGATGCATCCGATTCTTTTCTTGTTCTTTTCGTGCGCGGAGAGGGAGGGTAGACATGGCATCGCCGCTATTATAGCTGCCTCATCAGGCAAGTCCCTACAAGGCCTGATACAAATTAATTAACCTAATTAGGGAGTGTGATTGCGGGTGTGATTATAGGGGCTGGGGGTACGGGGAGGCGGGGGTGAGCTGGCAGCCACGGCCCGGGCAGCGATCAGCCGCGAGGTGTGGGAGCGCAGCCAAGGCACTCTGCATGGCTAATGAGAGGCTCTCCGATCTCCCAGCGCCTCCTATTTACCTCAGCGCACCTCGTTTTCATTCATATATCTGCTTTTTTAACTTGGCCACGTTCGCCCGGAGCCAAATCCACAGATCTCATCATTATTCTGTGGCTGTAACTCTCTTCTGCTTTCAGTAAATTATATGCTTTGTCAATTTTACCCCAATTTGTGTTTGGATAATTCTCAGAGGGAATTTCTACTGAGTGTCTGCGGAAGAACGAGGGGGAAAGACAGTGTTGAATGTTTGAAAATGAACTTAGCTTCGTCCAACAGGATCACTCCCTTTTTTTGATGATGTTGAATTATTTCATTAAAACAACTGTGCATTGAAACAAACTAGCTCTATGTAATCAAATGAGACGTAAACCGGTGAATATTGACTTTTTATTTCATTCATAAATGGTAAAAAAAAACGGTTCTCATTCTACAATCTCTATCCCCATTCACTCTGAGATATACACAGGTGTTTTGCCCAAAAACCCGTGGTCGCCTCTTCCTTACACAATTAATAAAAATAAAAATAAACAGTAATTTAGACAGAAATTATAGTTTTATTGTTGGGTCACAGCGACTCAGTTTCACAAAGTTCACATGGTTTTAGATCAAGACAAAATACAGAAGCTCCGACCTTCAGACCAAAACATCAATTGGAAACTTCTGCTGCATCTGTTGTAGCAGAAGTCCGTCAGTCAGTGTTAACATAATTCCACAAAACTCTCCAAAAAGATCCATGCTCTTAACATAAATATTAGGGCTTTCATTTATAAATTTGTCCTCGTAAAAACAATATTTGAAATAATTTACATCTCTCCTTTTATCGGTTAGTTTTACCCTACTACTGTAAGTCTGCGTCCTCAACTGTGCTCATGAGCTTTGGGTAATGACCGAAAGGACGCGATCGCGATACAAGCGCCAAAATGAGCGTCCTCCGCAAAGAAACTCGGAGTAGAGCCGCTGCTTCCCTACGTCAAGAGGAGCCAGTTGAGGATTGCTCCTGGACGCCTCCCTCGGAATGTGTTCAGGACATGTCCCAGGACACGTTGGACGGGCTATGTCTCTCAGCTGGCCTGGGAACGCTTCAGGATTCCCCCAGACTGCTGCCCCCGCAAACCGGCAATGGAGAAAACCGACGATAGATATTCAACAATGTATCACCAACAAAACCCGCCCAAAGTGGCTGGTGTTCAGGTTCACTCCACACTCAACTGAACTGATGTTACTTTTGGGTCAATGACACGAAAAAGTTCTGAAATGTTCTCGGCCGCTACTGCAGAACACTCACAGATTATTGTTTACTTCCTTGTTTGTCCAGTGGAGGGCGCACTACTTAAACACTGATTCGGTCAAGTCCTAGCTCCATTATTTTTTGGCATAATGTATACTCTATGATAAGAGATTGGTTCTAGTTTTATCCCCAACTGTTAACCCTTAAAGAGTCTCTGTCCTGTTCATTCTTCCACTCACAAAGCCCCAAAGTTCAGTACCATTATTTAGAAAGGCATCCATTGTTTTTCAAATGGTTTTGAGCCCATCTGAGATTATTCTGTGTATAAATAGTATTAAATAACTATGAGACACACACATTTTTCGCTCATACATATATTTTATCGCTGCTTGAAGTAAGCTTTGACACATTGTTAGTTGTTAGCTTAGCGTGGACTGAGCCAGAGACCAGTTGCGTAAGTAAAGAAGCACAACTTTCACTGAAGCTACTGCATTAGAATCGTTTAATGGGACCAAGAGGAGCAAGGAAACAATGGGAGTCAGCACCGAGGGATAACAATACGCTCTGCTAATTTCAATTAAAACAAAGCCATGGTCCCTGCACAACAATCTAGCACACTCCTGAAGCACGAGTTTATGCGGTTCAACCCGTCGTACTTCTATTCTTCAGCAATTATGGCATACACACGGGCTGTTTCCCCAAGTATTTTTCATTCTGTTATCTGTTCCAACTGGAAGGTCAAACCACGTGGTCATTGTTATCTATATCCCCCACATTGAGCTTAAAAACAGTTTACTTTTTGACCATTTCGGGAAAGTCTTTCTCCGTTTGCTTTTGATGCCGCGCTTGTTCTCTGTAGTGTGTAGTCCCCGAAACAAGGCACGGATCTACCCTCGGGGAAGAAGGCCAACTTCATCTTTGGCTATGCACTGGGAATCACAGCTTTACACACAAATGCACACGCTACGCCTCTGCCGCCATCACACCAGAGGAGCAATATTCAAATCTCCTCCTATTTGTATTGGACACAGAACAAAGAATTTCTTCACACCCAAGCATAAATGTGTATTCTTGCCAGCCTCAGCAATTCTAATATTTCTAATGAGTCGGGGAAACGGAAGCTGGAAGCGTTAAGGTGTGTGTAAACGATTTAAAACAAAAACAAAAATCAAGTATCAAAAGCTCAGAAGTGGTGCTATAGTGAGTGGTTGCTAATGCTTTCCAGGTATTTGCAATGTCACCTTTAAGCACACCATACGTTTTGCATGGCTGTTTGATATCTCGATTGTCGCTCCTTAAGCGTTTGCATGTTTTGGTGCTATCTCGTCCGTGGTTGCTCCTCTTCCTCTCCACGCTCTGCCTCCTCTTCCTCACGTTGTGCAGCTGGGTGCCTGGGTCGGTATCAGTGGCTGAGGTGTGATTAGGAGCCAGAGAGCAGACAGCGATAGGGACGTGCTATCGTGGCTCTGATCTGGTTGCCCCTGGAAGAAAAAAATAAAATAAGGCCCAGTTTTTTCTCCCCCCACTCTCAAGGTTTTCTGCATTGTAAATGACTCGCAGGCTCCTCCTCATGTAAAGGCAGAGATGCAGAGATTGGATCTAGTCGGACACTTTATGCAAAAATGTGGGAGAGGAGTGTCGGAATGGAGCAAAGACCACGGGGAAAATGAGAAAGATTCGTATTTGATGGTCCACTGTCACCTGCTGCATGGAGAGCTAACAAGGAGCTACTGCATTAACAATGAATGGAATTTGGTTTTGTTTTAATGATGGAAGTAGGAATCTGAGACGTTTTGGCAAATGTTTTAAATTCTTTAGGAGGAGCCATTTTAAACAGGATAGGGCTGCAGCATCACTCAGAAAACTCTTGTGTCCTTAGGCAAGACACTTCCCCCACATAAGAATGAGTCTGGTGTGTGTGTGTGAGTGGTTGGTGGTGGTGGGAGGGGCCTCGCTTCTGTCAGTGTGCCCCAGGGCAGCTGTGGCTACAGTAGTAGTTCATCACCACTGTGTATGGAGTGAATGAATCATGACATGTGCCGGGCGGCACGGTGGCTGAGTGGATAGCACTCTCGCCTCTCAGCAAGAAGGTCCTGGGTTCGAATCCCGGCCGGACCAGGGCCTTTCTGAGTGGAGTTTGCATGTTCTCCCCGTGTCTGCGTAGGTTTCCTCCGGGTACTCCGGTTTCCCCTACCACTAAAAATATGTACAATAGGTCTGTCATGTGCCTCCTGTGTGGAGTGAGAGACAAGTGCCCAAAAAATAACAATTGTAAACCGCTTTGTGACTCTGGTCTGTGAAAGGCGGTATATAAATAAAGCTTACTTACTTACTTTGAGTGTCTAAAATAAGAGCTGTATAAAACTAATGTCATGTTGTGGACTTTTTTATGACATTTTTGTTTTTGTTCTTTTCAGTGTTGCTTCATGTCTGTTCTGTTGATTGCCTGTCCTAATGTGTTTCACCTGTGTGTGTGTGTGTGTGTGTGTGTCCATCCATCCATTTTCTACCCTTTAATCCATTTCTGGGTCAGGGGGGTGGCAGTCAGTCTCTCCTGGGCTCCACTGATCTCCTTGTACTAAGGGAAGGGAAAGCACACATAAACGGTAAATAGAAAACAATAGTGGTGATAACACCTTATAAAATAAAAATAAATTTACAAAACAGTATTAACTATGAATATACCATTGAATTTCATAGAAACAACGATACCATGTATGACACAAACACGATCTCTGAAGGTGGGCGTGGGTGTGTGTGTGTGTGTGTGAGCGTGTGTGTATATATGTATTTTTTCATTTCTCTTCTAATTTTCCTATCTCAAATTTAACAAATCTCTGTTTCATGCCATCTGTTTTTGTTTGACTTTGTATTTTTGGACCCCGTACATAAGCTTGTGTAGCTTCCTAGGGTGTCCATTTCTTTTTCCCAGTGTCACAAAATTAGTTACAAACTCAATGTATGAACAAATGTGTGATATTGTGAAGAAGAATAAACTGAACTGAACTGAATCAGAGATGCCACCCAAGTCTCATAGCACCAGCCCCTCACTGACCCTCTGCAGGTGGTGAGTCCACAGGAGGACGGCTGCTCTCTGAGTGTGAGCATAGCCTTGATCTTTCAGTGGGGGCTTTGGGCAAAGTGGGGTTAAGTGTCTTGCCCAAGGACACAACGACAGCAGTCATCAGTGGGAGTCGGTGGAGAAGGTGCAGAGGTGGGAATTGAACCCACGACCTTCTGGCCTTAAGGCCAATGCTCTACCAACTGAGCTACTGTCGCCCCTCGTGTGTGTGTGTGTATTTAAACCCTGTGCTCTTCTCCACATGTTGTTGGTCCATTGTGTTTTTGTACCTGTTCCTTCTAAGTTTTAGTTTGGAGTTCTGTAACCCTGGATTTTGTTATGTTTGAGTTTATGTGTATTTAATCTTATATTTTTGGAAGTCCTGCATTTTGGGTCCTTCCTCCTTCTCAAAACGTCACAACTAATGCATTATTATTAACTTACGTCCTCCAAACAATCGCTGTTGTGATTTAGAACTATACAAAAATACATTGAATTGAATATTTGAATTACTGTATATCCACAGAATTAACTAAAACGGGGCGACAGTAGCTCAGTTGGTAGAGCATTGGCCTTTGGGCCTGGAGGTTGTGAGTTCGATTCCCACCATGGGACCTACTCCAACTGCTCCCACTGCTCCCCGCTGTTGTTGTGTCCTTGGGCAAGACACTTAACCCCACGTTGCCTGAAGCCCCCACTGAAAGATCAAGGCTGTTTCACAACTGATGGAGCAGCCATCTTCCTGTGGACTCACCCCTGCAGAGGGACTGGTGCTATGAGCGTTGGGTGGCAGCTCTCATTGCCACCCCCCTGACCCAGGAATGGACTAATAAAGGGGTTGAAAATGAATGAATGGACTAAAACATCCATGCTTTCATATCCTCCAGACTTGACTTCTGCAAATGTCTTTTATACGGCCTTCCTTCATCAGATCTCCAAAAACAATATGTCCCAAACTCCGCCTTCCGCCTCATCACTCAGACCAGCTACAGAGAACACATCACCCCTGTCCTTCATAGACTCCACTGGCTCCCAACAAACAGCGAATCCATTTCAAAATCACCCTCATCACCCACAAAGCCCTCCATAACCTCCTCCTCCAGACCTCACTGAACTATAGCCCTACAGTCCCTCCTGTCGACTCTGATCTGCAGACTCACATCTTCTCACTCCCACTGTCAAATCCAAGCACCGAACCTTTGGGGACCGAGCTTTCTCCATTTCTGCTCCCACTCTCTGGAACTCTCCCCCCTCATCTCAGAAACTCAGACTCACTAAAGTCCTTCCAAATACAGTTAAAATTCTTCTTTCCTGCTTTTAGTGTTCCAGTTTTGTGTGTCTGTCCGAATGTGTATGTGTGTGTGTCCTGAATTGTGGAGCTTCTTTTTTTAGTTTTGAAAAGCGCTGTATAAAACTAATGTATTATTATTACATAGAAAGCTAAATGACAGATCGGCACTTTCTTCATTTTTAACACACAATAAGCACAAAACTATTCTTGTGTGTTTTTCTGTTTTAAATCCATCTCCTCAGATAAAACACATCCATCTTGAAGAACTGTGAAAACCCCTCTACAGAGCATATACATAAGAAGAGGCCCACAGAGAAATCTTAAGTACCTGTTATGGATCACTAAATACACAATGGGACTCCCTCTTGTTTAAAGTGACAAATTAATGTAAGAAATTAGTGAAATCCCACTGGTTCTAATGTTATTCCGCTCAGCTCTGTCGGACTATGATGAATGTACCTTAAGCCTTTTGTGTGCGATAGGAACCTTTGTCCCGACTGTATGTTTTGATGCTATGATTATTTGTATTCCGTGTGCATTCAGAGGGCATTTGCATCAGAAAGTAGGTGATGAGTGTGCGTATGAAGCCAGTGTGTGAAGACTCTGGTGATTACTCAGGCCTTTGAGGACCGCTGTCTCCTGTACGCCGCTCTCTGATAAGCAGGGGTTTTGTCAGTGCCCAGGTAAATACAACACTTAAGGATTCATCTCTCATTTGGTAGTCACACTTACACTTTAATTAAAGCGAGGAGCCGGATCGGGAGAGATAGACGGAACGATATGAGGGGCCCCGGCAGGTAAACTTCAGGGCTTGGGAGCTGACCTCTTGCCCACTGGAGGAGAGTTAACGATGATAACACAGAGGCGGGCGATACAGTGTTTATTATTAGACCAGTTTTTGAAATGCAGAGAAAGTAATAATTTCACGTAATTGGAAAGACGTCTGGGTATTGTCTGTTAAAGGGCTGCAGTACCACTGGGAATGCACAGAGGTGTCGTGTTGAGGTAGAAGCTCTAGATTTGATTCTGGCGAGGAGGTGTTGCACATACACTCACCGGCCACTTTATTAGATACACCAATCCAACTCCACTCTATAATGCTAATTCCTAATCAGCCAATCACATGGCAGCAACTCGCAGCATTTAGGCTGTGGACATGGTCAAGACGATCTGCTGCAGTTCAACAAATCAGAATGGGGAAGAAAGGTGATTTAAGTGACTTTGAACGTGGCATGGTTGTTGGTGCCAGACAGGCTGCTCTGAGTATTTCAGAAACTTCTGATCTACTGAGATTTTCACACACAACCATCTCTAAAGTTTACAGAGAATGGTCCGAAAAAGAGAAAATATCCGGTAAGCAGCAGTTCTGTGGGAGCGATGTGATAAAAAGGCAACAATTTCTCAAATAACCACTTGTTACAACCATGGTCTGTAAGAGCCTCTCTGAACACAGAACACGTCAGACCGGGCCTTATCCAACATATTTGCAGCAATGATATTTGATAAACATTCCTCTTTCTCCGACTTGGTAAACTCTGGTCCATGATCATTTCCTACATGTACGTCTGGTCTTACCATGTGTAAACTCTGGTCCATGATCATTTCCTACATGTACGTCTGGTCTTACCATGTGTAAACTCTGGTCCATGGTCATTTCCTACATGTACGTCTGGTCTTACCATGTGTAAACTCTGGTCCATGGTCATCTCCTACATGTACGTCTGGTCTTACCATGTGTAAACTCTGGTCCATGGTCATTTCCTACATGTACGTCTGGGTCTGATCCTAGTGGCTGCAGTTTCCTCGGTTGAATCCCCTCCGACCAATCAGAGAGCAGGGGAGGCGGGTGTTGTAGGTTGGTGTCGGTGACGTCAAGAGTTTGTGCTGAATTTGCTGGTTGTAGTTTGTCGGAGAATGCGATAGTAAAATAATCTGTTCTGGTTCAATCCAAATATCAAGAAACTGAAGCCGGAGCAAGAGGAATGTTTAGTAAATGTCATTGAAGCAAAGATGTTGTGGCTCTACTCTCCACGGGCTCCGTTAGTGGCAAAGGAGATGGCTAAAGCTAGGCTAATGGCTAAAGCTAGGCTAAATGCTAAATGCCTCACTCACTCGGGCTCATTACATACGTCACGGTAAACTCAGATCCAATGGTTTCAATTTGCAAAAGGAGTTAACCCCTCCCACCTGTTAACGGAGTCAATGGAGCAAATCCAGACTTAAGTTTTGAATTAAAATACTACAATGGTACGGTAAGACCAGGCTAGATAAGGTCAAACTTTCACAAGACATGCGTTTATGTTTACTGTTCAAACAATCAATAGATGTAATTGACACCGTGGAATCTGGCCTCCATTTTGTGGAAGTGAAACAAACCTGGGGAATCGGATTTAAAGAAAAAAAAGGACATGGTTGTGCAAGTGTGTTTGTTTTTGCTGTGTCTTACAAAAAACACACACAAACACACAAATTGAACTAAAAATCTAACTAACTAAAAACAATGGTGTTGATGAGTGCATTCCTGTGTAATTCACTGCACCTCCAGTGTTCTATCGTTTTATTCTCTGTCCATGAAAAATGACCAACTCAGAACAATGTTTAAATAAGAGTCACCTTCTTTTCCTACCGTTCATTTCTAATTGATTGATGAATTGAGCGGACAAACTGGTCAGACCTGGACTTCCCCTCCTGCATTTACAAGTGAACAACACTAACAATAACCATAAGTGTAAATGAGCATAGATCGCACGTGCGTATGCAAAGTGTGCGCCGTCGCTGGAGCCGCTGCTCGCTGCCGAAACAGCTGTAGTTGCGCTGCTATCAGATATTTATAAGCGGCTCATGAATATGGATGGGCCGCGGGATGGGACTGATGTTTGTCCTCTAAGAGCGGATGAAAGGAGAATGTGCTCCTTCCCAGAGAGACCCAGTCAGGGACGCAGGGAGCGGGGAGCAGGGGGCCGGGGGAGCTGGAGACCGCCACGGCACTGGTAATGGGGCTGGGTGCGCGCCTACAGGACAGATGGTAAAATTTAATGAAATGTGATCGGTATAGTCAAGGCAAAGCGGGTCCCAGAAGGAGCGCGAAATTACAAACTTGTAGCGGCGTATTAAGGCTGTCATTAGTGCCACGGCGCCTGTTTGATTTCGGCCCCGTTCCTCTCCTCCGACATCTCCGCTGAGTTCATTAATGTTTTATTATTTACAGATGCTGGGATTGGAATAAACAGATATTCTATGGTGACTTTTGTCTTTTAGGAATTATTTGTGTGTTTGTGCCATTCTTGTGTCAATGTGTGTGTTTTTTTCCATGTTGTTTACACTGTATCTCATGCATGTTATTCATGAAACTATCCAGAAACATTGCAGAATAAGCCATAATAAGGACGTGTGGGTTTAAGATCCTCGGCTTCGGTTATTCACGGATTCATCTTCTCTGGTACAGCCACACTTTATTACCTCAAAAAGAAGCATTAACTAAAATCCTTAGAAACTAACACCAGATAAAGCAACAGAACATTAAGAGATCTTACATAAACATTCTTTCAAAACATATTTCAATTTAAATAATATAAATAATTAATAATAACAATTAAAAACAGAAAACAGCAGAACTGGACAAAGGTGTTGGTGTGACTGGTCGTGTGACTGGTCATGTGACTGGTCATGTGACTGGTCGTGTGACTGGTCGTGTGACTGGTCATGTGACTGGTCGTGTGACAGGTCATGTGACTGGTCGTGTGACAGGTCGTGTGACAGGTCGTGTGACAGGTCGTGTGACAGGTCATGTGACAGGTCATGTGACAGGTCGTGTGACTGGTCGTGTGACTGGTCGTGTGACAGGTCGTGTGACTGGTCGTGTGACTGGTCGTGTGACAGGTCATGTGACTGGTCGTGTGACTGGTCGTGTGACAGGTCGTGTGACTGGTCGTGTGACTGGTCGTGTGACAGGTCGTGTGACAGGTCGTGTGACTGGTCGTGTGACAGGTCGTGTGACAGGTCGTGTGACAGGTCGTGTGACTGGTCGTGTGACTGGTCGTGTGACAGGTCGTGTGACAGGTCGTGTGACAGGTCGTGTGACAGGTCGTGTGACTGGTCATGTGACAGGTCGTGTGACAGGTCGTGTGACTGGTCGTGTGACTGGTCGTGTGACTGGTCGTGTGACTGGTCGTGTGACAGGTCGTGTGACAGGTCGTGTGACTGGTCGTGTGACTGGTCGTGTGACAGGTCGTGTGACAGGTCGTGTGACTGGTCGTGTGACTGGTCGTGTGACTGGTCGTGTGACTGGTCGTGTGACAGGTCGTGTGACTGGTCGTGTGACTGGTCGTGTGACAGGTCGTGTGACTGGTCGTGTGACTGGTCGTGTGACGGTCGTGTGACTGGTCGTGTGACTGGTCGTGTGACTGGTCGTGTGACTGGTCGTGTGACTGGTCGTGTGACTGGTCGTGTGACTGGTCGTGTGACGGTCGTGTGACAGGTCGTGTGACAGGTCGTGTGTGACAGGTCGTGTGACAGGTCGTGTGACAGGTCGTGTGACAGGTCGTGTGACGGTCGTGTGACAGGTCGTGTGACAGGTCGTGTGACAGGTCGTGTGACAGGTCGTGTGACGGTCGTGTGACTGGTCGTGTGACAGGTCGTGTGACGGTCGTGTGACAGGTCGTGTGACAGGTCGTGTGACAGGTCGTGTGACAGGTCGTGTGACAGGTCGTGTGACAGGTCGGTGCGGTGACAGGTGTGAAGGTCATGTGACAGGACGTGTGACAGGTCGTGTGACTGGTCGTCGTGTGACTGGTCGTGTGACAGGTCGTGTGACTGGTCGTGTGACTGGTCGTGTGACTGGTCGTGTGACAGGTCGTGTGACTGGTCGTGTGACAGGTCGTGTGACAGGTCGTGTGACAGGTCGTGTGACTGGTCGTGTGACAGGTCGTGTGACAGGTCATGTGACAGGTCGTGTGACTGGTCGTGTGACTGGTCGTGTGACAGGTCGTGTGACAGGTCATGTGACAGGTCGTGTGACAGGTCGTGTGACTGGTCGTGTGACTGGTCGTGTGACTGGTCGTGTGACAGGTCATGTGACAGGTCATGTGACTGGTCGTGTGACAGGTCGTGTGACAGGTCGTGTGACAGGTCATGTGACAGGTCATGTGACAGGTCGTGTGACAGGTCGTGTGACAGGTCGTGTGACTGGTCGTGTGACAGGTCGTGTGACAGGTCGTGTGACAGGTCGTGTGACAGGTCGTGTGACAGGTCGTGTGACAGGTCGTGTGACAGGTCGTGTGACAGGTCGTGTGACAGGTCATGTGACAGGTCGTGTGACAGGTCGTGTGACTGGTCGTGTGACTGGTCGTGTGACTGGTCGTGTGACTGGTCGTGTGACTGGTCATGTGACTGGTCATGTGACAGGTCATGTGACAGGTCGTGTGACAGGTCGTGTGACTGGTCATGTGACTGGTCGTGTGACTGGTCATGTGGGGAAAGAAAGTCTGAAAAGGTTGAATTTTGAGTTTGGATTTGAACCATAGACAGTCCAATCCAATTTATTTATATACCACATTTCATAAACAAGCAGTTTCCAAAGTTCTGTAGAATAAGCAAAAAAAAAAAAAAAATTGGCAACAAATAAATACATACTTATAAAAAAAGGAGGACCACACGACTCAAGGTCGGTGTTAGAATCCAGAGAATAAAAGTGGGTGTAGAGACAGTAAACATTAACGGACGCAGGTGTTTTTGTATGTTTTATAATCCATCCATCCATTTTCTTCCCCTTAATCCATTTCTGGGTCGGGGGGGTGGCAGTCAGAGCTGCACCCAGTACACAGAGCACCAGCCCCTCACTGATCCTCCTGCAGGTGCTGAGTCCACAGGAGCCGAGATCTTTCAGTGGGGGCTTCGGGCAAAGTGGGGTTAAGTGTCTTGCCCAAGGACACAACGACAGCAGACGTCAATGGAGTTGGTGGAGAAGGTTCTGTGGTAGGCTCGAACCCTCAACCTTCAGACTGAATGGCCAATGTTCTACAAACTGAGCCACTGTTGAATATTTTATCTTCCGTTATTTACGATATATATAATTAGTATAAACCATTAAAATAAGCCATCTTTACCTATTTTTACTCTCACACCTCGAGCCAAAGCAAATTCTCAGTGTGTGACTTCCTGCTCCATACAACGGCAATACAAACAATTCTGATTCTTAGAGATAAAAACAAAAACATCCCCAAATTGCCATAAAAACCAGATTCTCCCCCTTTTGCCCGTGGTTCAGGGTTGCACATGTCTGACCCGAGTGCCCACCGCGGAGGTCACGGTGTGGGGACGGAGCAGAGGACGGGGCTTCAGCGCCACGTAGCTTTCAATGCTAAACCCTGACTCATCTATCAGCGCTAATACAGCAGCGCCGGGCCGTACATGCATTAGACCCGGACAATTATCATAATGGCTGCTTTTAATATGGCTAATAAGCTGGCACGACCTTGCCCATTCACTCAGCGGGAACACGCACCAGCCGCTCTCAAATGGACATATTCAGAAGCTAAATGAACATTAGGGACTTTTAGCTGTCATGGCTCTTTGGTTATGCATAATATACAGAAGGAAGCAGGAAGAGGCCGGACAAATGGGAAAATGGCCGAGTATTTACCGAAATCACTCTTTTAGATAACAAAGTAGGAATAAATAGACGTTATTGGTGTGTGTGTGTCTCTGCCTGTGTGTGTCTTTGCTTGTGTGTGTGTGTGTGTCTCTGCCTGTGTGTGTCTTTGCTTGTGTGTGTGTGTTTGGGTGTGTATGTATGTCTCTCTGCTTGTGTGTGGATGGGTGCGTCTTTGCTTGTGTCTCTGCTTGTGTGTGTGTGTTTGTGTGTGTCTCTGTGTGTGTGTGTTTGTGTCTGTCTTTGCATGTGTGTGTGTGTGTTTGTGTGTCTGTGTGTGTGTGTGTCTGTGTGCGTCTTTGCTTGTGTGTGTGTGTCTACCTGTGTGTGTGTGTGTCTCTGCCCATGCGTGTGTGTCTGCTTGTGTGTGTGTGTGTCTCTACTATACTAAATAACGCAATATCTCTAACTTTACCATCAAAAGACACTGGTATAAAATCTCTATCCCTAGCAAAGTAAAACAGTATAAATCTCAACCTTTTGTCATAATAAGAAGCAAGTATAAAATGACAGGAGAATCACTGATTTCGCATGGTTCTGGAGCATGAATGAATTGCTAAAACCTAGAGAAATCTTATTGTAAAAAAAAAAAAAAATTAAGTTTCAAGATTGGAAAATGTATCTTTGGCTCTCCACTCACGCTGCAGTTACATAATAAATACATTTGCTAAAGTGGGACGTTTCTGTTATTGTAATTCATTGTTTATTTGGTTGGAACAGATCTTGCAGTGAACACACCTGGATTGGAGCCATGAGCAAGTTTGCATCTTAGACTCACCTTAGTAGTGACGCCTATAATAAAGTATCTATCTACCCTGTCTATCTATCCTGTCTGTCTATCTACCCTATCTGTCTATCTACCCTGTCTGTCTATCTATCTACCCTGTCTGTCTATCTACCCTGTCTGTCTATCTACCCTGTCTGTCTATCTATCCTGTATGTCTATCTATCCTGTATGTCTATCTATCTTGTCTGTCTATCTATCCTATCTATCTATCTATCTATCTTATCTGTCAATCTACCCTATCTGTCTATCTATCCTATCTCTGTCTATCTATCCTATCTGTCTGTCTATCCTGTCTGTCTATCCTGTCTGTCTATCTATCCTATCCATCTATCTATCTTATCTGTCTATCTATCTATCTATCTATCTTATCTGTCTATCTACCCTATCTGTCTATCTATCCTATCTCTGTCTATCTATCCTATCTGTCTATCTATCCTGTCTGTCTATCTATATCTGTCTGTCTATCCTATCTGTCTATCTATCTTGTCTGTCTATCTATCCTATCTGTCTATCTATCCTTTCTGTCTATCTATCTATCTTATCTGTCTATCTATCTATCTTATCTGTCTATCTACCCTATCTGTCTATCTATCCTATCTCTGTCTATCTATCATGTCTATCTATCTTGTCTGTCTATCTATCCTATCTGTCTATCTATCCTTTCTGTCTATCTATCCTTTCTGTCTATCTATCTTATCTCTGTCTATCTATCCTATCTATCTATCCTATCTGTCTATCTATCCTATCTGTCTATCTATCTGATCCGTCTATCTATCCTATCTGTCTATCTATCCTTTCTGTCTATCTATCTTATCTGTCTATCTATCCTATCTGTCTATCTATCCTATCCATCTATCTATCTTATCTGTCTATCTATCCTGTATGTCTATCTATCCTGTATGTCTATCTATCCTGTATGTCTATCTATCCTGTATGTCTATCTATCCTATCTATCTATCTATCTATCTTATCTGTCTATCTACCCTATCTGTCTATCTATCCCATCTCTGTCTATCTATCCTATCTGTCTATCCTATCTGTCTATCTATCCTGTCTGTCTATCTATATCTGTCCGTCTATCCTATCTGTCTATCTATCTTGTCTGTCTATCTATCCTATCTGTCTATCTATCCTATCTGTCTATCTATCCTTTCTGTCTATCTATCTTATCTCTGTCTATCTATCCTATCTGTCTATCTATCTGATCCGTCTATCTATCCTATCTGTCTATCTATCCTTTCTGTCTATCTATCTTATCTGTCTATCTATCCTATCTGTCTATCTATCCTATCTGTCTATCTATCCTTTCTGTCTATCTATCTTATCTGTCTATCTATCCTATCTGTCTATCTATCCTATCTCCGCCGCTGAAACTAACGTGCCACCACTTTTGCATTCTGTGGGCTTTTTCAAATTGGCCGCGGGACAGGAAAATGTGAAAAAACGCATTTGCGCATGAGTTAGCTGCACTATCTCCATTCAGACTGTGACCAGGCTCTGACCAGACTCGGACCGGGCTCTGACGGACTCGGACCAGGCTCTGACCAGACTCGGACCAGGCTCTGACGGACTCGAACCAGGCTCTGACCAGACTCGGACCAGGCTCTGACCAGACTCGGACCAGGCTCTGACCAGACTCGGACCGGGCTCTGACCAGACTCGGACCGGGCTCTGACCAGACTCGGACCAGGCTCTGACGGACTCGAACCAGGCTCTGACCAGACTCGGACCGGGCTCTGACCAGACTCGGACCGGGCTCTGACCAGACTCAGACCGGGCTCTGACGGACTCGGACCAGGCTCTGACCAGACTCGGACCAGGCTCTGACAGCCTTGTTCATACGATGATGTGTTGTAGGACGGCTTTGTGGGCACTGGGGGTGGAAGTGCGTCAGACGGGGGCACAATGCGTTCGTGGGAGTCCAAAAGGGCTCGGCCTCGGACTCAGAGGGGGCGGAATCTGAAAAATGCCCCTTCAGATCGCCCTGGGGCTGGTGTTAACATTTTGGTTTTCTCTGGGCCTTTGTAACAGTGGACAAATGATCCCAGGAGCCGGACAATAATGTTTTTTATGGAACTCAAAATGTTGAGCGCAGTAAGGTCAGTGTGGGGGTGTAAACAGCCAACACGTGGCTGAGCAGTGGAGACAGAAGACCGAGCTGGAGCTGGGACTAAAGCACTTCTACTAAACAAGTCTTCACATTGTTGCAGCTTGAGAACATAAACTACCTAGAAGACCGCTTCGTGACGCGCAGCAGTAAACGGGGTCTTGTAAACCGGGGTCTGGGGAGATTAAGTTCCTCTTGGAGATCTGATCCCGGTGCCCACGCCGAGGCACTGGGAACAATCGGCCCTTCCTGCTTCAAACAACACTGCTTTTCTTGTTTGGTCTTGGAATATGTCAGAGTGTCAATGTGCTGAGTGTGTGTGCGTGTGTGCGTGTGTGTGTGTGTGTGTGTTGTGTGTGTGAGTGTGTGGGTAAGAGAGCGAGAAGATTTATCTGTTTGTAGTCAGGATAAAGGCTGTCACTGTAGTCTACTGTCCACTCCAAATGGTCCTAAGGAGACAGATAAGAGCAGGCTTCTGTTTGCATCGCGCTTGTTAGAAGATTATTTCCTTACACTTCACCCTTTAACGTGTTTCGTAGTTGTTTTTAAGTTCACGTGTGTAAACATTATTTATTGGGGGGAGATGGGAAAAGGGGCTGAGGATAATAAGAACAACGTAATCTCTGCAACATGGAAAGTATAGCAAAGTGAAACCATTGCTTTTGTCTATCATCATTTTTATTATTATTATTTGTATTATTATTATTTTTAATGGAGTTTTAAGAATTTCACAAAATGTTTGCCGAATCCAAAAATATCTAATTAGGAACCAGGCGTCTAAAAGCTGTCTTAGTCTTGTATTTGTATGATGTCATTGTGCCGTTATGACATCAGTACTTCCCATACATTAGTTTTGGTAATTCTTCAGGTAAAATGACAGTCTTTACAATCACTGTGTTTGCAGACTTTCATTTTCCAATTTTAAAGCAAAAAACTAAAACTCCACACCTCCCTCTGGTGGAAGCGTGGGGAGTTACAGGTGGAGATTATTGCATAGCCTTCATACTTCCTTCAGCAAATATTTTCTACTTGAGAAAATATTTCACATTTTAAAACATGACAGGACAAAATAAATAGTCCCTTTGTCTTTTCGGAAATCCAAAGTTATGCATGATAAGTCTTCTTTAAAAGCAAGGGGAAAGAAAGGTGGGGACGATCTCGGATTTGTTTAAAATTGAGGATTTAAAATAGTGGCTTTTGAATGTAGGAAATGTGAAGCGATTGGAACTTTATATAATAATAATAATAATCTTTATTTGTATAGCACTTTTAAAAACAATGTTTACAAAGCGCTGCACAGTCAGCATGATAAACAATAAAAACAGTCATAATACAAGGTCAAAATAATTAGATACAGAAACACAAAGCAAACAGAGCAAAACACAAAAGAGACACAACAAAGACAAAGCAGACATTAAAACTAACAGTTAAAAGCTGTTTGATAAAAGTGGGTTTTAAGAAGTGATTTAAAAGAGGATACTGATGGAGCCTTATCTCCTCGGGCAGGTGGTTCCAAAGGCGAGGAGCCCGGACAGAGAAGGCTCGGTCACCTTTCGTCCGGAGCCTCGACCTTATGAACGATACTAGAAAAAAATTTCATTTCATTTCATTTCATTTAGTTTATTTGAGCTATTTGTGTAAAAAGACATAAAAAAAAACAATGAACAAACAGGCATAATTTGCGCTGTATGCAATGATAAAGCAAGGCACACAGAAAAGCTCAAAAGGAGTAAGCAGAAGTATAAAACTTGTTAATGCTTACCCCTTTCTCATATTCTTTTTCTTGACAACAATTGCGTTGTTACAGACAGTGGTAAAGTTAATTTAAATGCATACATCATAGAACACAAGTTGCGTGTACAATAAGAAAA